TAAAATTCTTCGAAATATCTGCAAGCGGACCGCAAGAAGTCAGCGAACTATTTTTCCGGTGCCCGCTTGCCCAAAAATCGCATGGCCGCCTGCCCCTGGCGATTATCTGAGTCTGCCAAATAGAGTCTCACCTTTTCTCGGCGTACGCCCGAAACTGCGTAAAAAGAGTCCGAGCGCTTGCTGAAAGTTTGGCCAGCGTTCGCTGAAAGGAATCATTTGCCGAGCGCTTGCAAAAAATGTTTTGTTGCTGTCGTTGGCAGAATATACGACCGTAAAGGAGGTGCCGCCCGCTGAAGGTTTGGCCACGCCCCAGAATTCTGATGACCGCCTGCAGAAAAGCGCGAGTTTGCGGACCGTCTGCCCCCGGCGATTATCTGAGTGGCAGCTAGCGGCTGGCAGAGCTATCGTTATTCTTAACCGCCACCGGGCCAATAAGACAACTTGTATAGGCTTCTTCACCTGTTAAAAAAGCCGCTTTTTCTGGTCCTTTGAAGCGTGAAATTAAGGGTATATAAAGTCGATCATTTCATATGATCATATGTGCACTGCACACATTGTCCATCTTTGACGTCCTAATCCTGGATTTGCAATCGTGAAAACGCAAAAGATGACCGATAATCATCCCTTACATCACTAGAGGAGATTAATACCTAGAAAGGAAAGAAAACATTGAGAACACACTAAAGACACTCCCTGAAGAGTTGTTTCCTCCGAGAAGCCAGGATGGGAACGCCAAAGGTGGACACATACCTTCGATACGTAGAGCCACGTACTCTGGTAACCTTCACTTTGAGTGTCATGAGAGGACACAACCTTCACCTGGAGAGGAATACAGAAGTCATCCGGGGCGAAGCCCGGATATTATGATACAACTAATGACTAACTATGTAAGGATGAATGTGAATGAGGCAAATATAGTAGTGACATCCAGAAAGCTCAAAAACCGAAGGATTGCGTTTTTGTGGCTTTTTTTGCTGAAAAGAAGGTTTTTCTTCAAAAATTCAGTTAGAAATTAGGATGAAACTTATCAATTAACCTTTCTGTAGACTGCGATTTAGCGTTGGAGGTTCATGAAAGCCGCTGGAATTCAATAAAAGCGAGAAACTGCGCTGAAATCTTGCGCACAGAGTCGCCACATAAATGCTGGTCTATCTCGTTATTAAGTGATTTTCAAGACCTGCGACGTTGTCAGTGCTCCTGGCCGTCTCATGAGGATCACAACGATATATAATATTATAGGGTTTTGTTATGACCCCGCGGAGATCAATGACCAGAGCCAAATGCCCCGCCGGCTCTGGTCTGTCTCCGCTGCTCGTCTGCGTCTCCGCGCGCTGCGCGCTACCTCGCTACCCCAAACGCGGGGCGCGGGGCATTTGGCTCTGGTACCCTTTTCTTCGCTGTTTCGAACCCAATTTTAGCAAGCTATATATCATTTTGAAGCCCTTGATCTCTATTTTCACGCTGACAACGTCGCAAGACTCCTTTTTATGATTTAAACGAGAAATCCGGCAAAAACCTTGTTTTCGAAAATCTCTCGTTTTTCTCCTAGTTTGACTCTTTTCACGCAGTTTTTTTTGTGTAGTCGATAGGTCTTGTTTCTGTCTATAATGTAGACAACGTCGCCGAGCTTATTTCTCTGCTTATGCCGGTTTTTTTGTGAAAATTACAAAAAAATGCGTTTTTCTTTACCTTATTCTTTTTCAGTGGTTTCGCAACGAATTTTCTCCAGCTTGGATGATACTTGCTCAGAATGATGAGCGGAAGAATCCAGACAACGTCGCAGGGTACAAGAGGGACGGCGCGAGGGTAAAAATTCAAAGGACGCATCAAAAATCAAAACCCCGCGTTGCGATGTGCTGGTCTTGAAGCGAAAACTTGCACTTCAAAAAGCCGCCAAACGAAAGATTTCAAACCTTATTGCAGCATTTTTATCTGGTTTTCAGCAGTTTCTCTTGCTTTTTATATATATTTTACGTCATTTTTTCTTCTCTGATCTTCTTCAAACAACCTTCACTGTTCATGACGTCAGATGTTCAAACAACCTTCACTTTTGGCGCCATGTCTCTAGACTATCGAAGGTATGGGTGGACAGTGTGTGCAATAACATACACATCATATGAAATGATTCGTGTAAGTTTGGGTGTGATGCGGAAGCTGACAATGCAAATTTCGTGCCTTTCAAAACTCTTCAGTGCTAATGATACGGCGCCACGGTAGGGAGAGACGGAAGATGTACAGCAACCCAATGGCTGATTTCGCTAAAGAGCGCGAATTACAATTGGAGCAGCGTTTTCTCCTCAATCCTTTACAAGCATCCAAACGAGCAAGTAAATCCATTTCAGGTGATTGAGAGCCGATCCCAGTGTGACAAGCTTACGAGGTTTACCATGATTGCACAGAAGGTCTCAATCCAGCCTGATTTCCTGCGTCATCAACTATTTTCCATATAGAGTTGGAGGCGCGGAGAGCAATGGTTAGAAGTCAAACCATCTCTGACAGTCTCATCGTCTATATATATATCGACTATAAAGAAAAACATGTAAGAAAAACCACTATACAAGAAAAAACAGTGTGCCTTGTATGATGTACTAGTTACGCAGACCAATCGGGTGACTTTAACTAGCCAAAGGTATTCTGCCAAATACTCCAGTTGTTCGAATTTGCTTCAGTTTCAGAAACAGATGTGGTGGTAGTGACTATAAGATATCTATTGAAGTTGTCCAACTCTTTCCTTGTATTAAACAAACCTTTGAAAGTGGTACAAGCGTCTCTAATGGCTAAAGACCGACTTTATCATTGTTTGCTTCTTACTCAGACAGCAGATAGGGCCCCTCCGGCGGAGAAATGGCAGGGCCGCGGGGTTTCCCCAGCGGGGTGTCTGCCACTCGTGCTCCGGAGCCCTCCCATTTTGTCCGGCGCCCTCCCATTTAGTGCTCCGGAGCCCTCCCATTTCTGCTCCGGAGACTTCCCATTTAATGCTCCGGAGACCTCCCATTTTGTGCTCCGGAGACCTCCCATTTTGTGCTCCGAAGCCCTCCCATTTATGCTCCGGAGCCCTCCCAATTTGTGCTCCGGAGCCCTCCCATTTTGTGCTCCGGAGCCCTCCCATTTGTGCTCCGGACCCCTCCGATTTTCTGCTCCGCGGCTGTTCCAAATCTGGCGGACTCGCGGCGGGCAAATTTCTCCGGCGCGGCTCTGCCAAATCTGGCGTACCTCCGGAGCAGAAATGGCGTACCTTTGCAGCAGGGCCGGAGAAGGGTCCCACTCGCCTGCCGGTGATGTCACCGCGATACAAGAAGGGACCGCCCAATCGCCCCGCTCTCATTGGTCAACTGGGTCCGGCGCGACTCTGGCAAATTCGACTGTCCGGCGGAGGGATCCGCTCGATTGTCTGAGTACAACAACTTCAATGTTGATATCTCAGAATAGACATGCAGCATAAAGTAACTGATTGCAACCTCGCACTGCTCTACAATCCTTTCAGTCATCCCTTTGACTAAATCGCTTCAGATTTGGTTTGTAAAGGAATCCAAGCGTGAGAAACAAAGCGCACATTCCATGCAACTTTCATAAGTGTGTAATTGTAGGCATCAAAAAGCATAACTGGATATGACAAGTGATACGATAGCTATACATATGATTGCCACAGTCTAGCAGCAGTGAACCTCGCAGGACTTCCCTTCATGATTGATGATGATTTCGCTGTATAATGGTTATCGGCATGTATGTTTTGCTGCTTGAATTACATTAACATCTTCTGTAAGCTTTACAGAATTAGAAGCACAATATGGTAAGTGCACACGTTTGATGAGGGATTGTATAGTAAAAACGAAAAGGAACTTACTAGCTACTTTGGAAGCTCGATAATCTCGTATTCATTTAGAAATGAAGAATACCGAAACGAGGCTATTTAGAATCTTTAAGTCGATAAAGATGTGACAAATGATGTAATGAAGAGAATAGTATGTGCAAAACGCGTGTTTATGAATAAGCTAACAGAGTGAAATTTGCGCAATCGTTAGCTTAGAGTCACTACCATCACATCATTTTTGAAATTGGAGCAAACTGGAACAACTGGAACAGTGCACGAAGATCAGCCTGGATTGAAACCTTGTTTGGTATTACCATAAACCTCGTGAGCTTGATAGAAGATATTGGCTCTCAACTCTGACCCAGGTTCGAAAGAGATTTATATGTCCTCAATAGCAGGTGTTTGCTCATGCGCTCCAAGGTGGAGGAGTTTTTTGAATCCTTGGAATGTGAATAAACTGAATTTACTCGTTTGTCTGCTTGTTGAACCTCTAGTCTACACAATTTGGACGCTTTTGAAGGACTTAGAGAGAACCCTGCTCCAGTAGTAATTCGCGCTCTATTGCGAAATCAGCCACTGGGTTGCTGTACATCTCCCGTCTCTCCACGGTAGGGGGGTGGCGGGCAGGGCCCCATTTATTCCTACTCAATCGGCTGCGCGGGCGGCCGCGGCGCGTGTCACTGCCGCGCTTAGGTCGCCCTTGCAGCCTTCAGCCATTTTCAGCCGTTCTACTCATAAAACATGTCTTTAGGCGAACGCCACATCATCCTTCCGAGAATATCAAGAACTTTGGCCTTACTTTTCGCTTTGAACTTAACTTTTGAATAAGATAAGTTATTAACTCAAGTAGATAGTACCACTGAGCTATTCACTGAAAGTTGCTTTGTCTCATACTTCACAATCTACTGTTTCTTTTTCATATCTCTTTCATAGTTCTTTTCAAGCATTTTTGCAACCCTCTCACGTTTTTGCTAGCTGTCATTTCAAGTAAAATCCTTTCACGCTCAGTGATCATGGAGAATTTTCTGATGTTATCGACCTTTGCTGCAACCGTGCTGTGGTGTTCTGACTAATTGCCTTATCAGTCATTTCTACCTATTTTTCGAAGATTGCTTTTTTCTTTTGATTGTCAAGTATGACGTCAACCTCATGATTTCAGAATGCAGTGGTAACAGAACTGTTTGGTGCGATGATATGCGGAGAGGTATATGCTTGCTTGGCAGGAGGGGTCGAAACAACGGTAGCTTCACAATTTATGTTGAAATCATGTTCATGTAATCAAAATGAAGTTTGTTTCCAGACTGAAAAGTGCACTATGGAATCACAAGGAAACATGAGAACATTGCTCGTTGCTCATGATTACCTCGGCTCTTCAGTTGATGTCGTGCGATTTGGCCTCTGGTAATTTGATATTCAAGCGTTATTTTGTCTTTCAGCATGTGTCTTACTCTAACTTTCACTCTTTTCAAATTAGTACTGCTAATTCAGTTATGAGAAGGGCAGAAAGTCTACTATAGTGTCTATTGCTAGCCGCTTTGTTCAGCATCGAGCTGTTATATTTCCTCCATTTGCTACGGTATGATTTACGATACTACGAGCAGAGGTGGTGAGTTAAATCATAATTGCAGTTGCAGGATCGCGGCGACTTGCTGACTCTTACTGAGGACCGATTTGTCATGAATGACACCAAAATCGGATCGGCGTTCCGTTACCTAGTGGAAGTCGTTGATTTGACTAACGACGGGTTTGCGATACGATTATGGTCTCGTCGGCTATTCATTTTTCACACAACATTTTAGCTTCCGTGTCCTACATATCGCTGCGCCATTTGAGCATCGCTTAGATTCTGATGGCCATTTTGGCGGAGTCATCCATGTTCATTACTTACAGGCGATGAAGCGAAACAAGGTGCTGTCGCTGATGCTGCTAAAGCTCTTTATTAATACTTTAGTTTTCGCTTGAGATCGAATCACACAAAGTACTCCACCCAAATTTTGCAAGACCGAGCCTTTTTTCATAGTTTGGTCTCGCTATCAGTGGCGTAGGTAATGTCGTGGATGCATAATGGTTTTAACAGGATGGTATACTGTGGATGACTTACTATTAGGAGTACGTGAAAAGACGTGCCCAAGCTTGTTAAGTAAGGTGTGCAACAGCGTGCTCACGTAGGTACCTTGACAGCTTACTGGTCCTGTCAGGATAACCTGTTGAAACTTGAAAATCCCATTGCTCAAACTTCGCCACAGTTTTAACTTCATCGAATCGCTATGGCATCCCGTTCACAGCTGTGGGCCTGTCCGAAATGCGCGAAGGTGTTACTTCGCAAAAACCTCCTATCACATCTGAGAGTCGTTCATAGGCTTTCAGATGGTGACATAAAGGAGGTGAGATTGGACATGGCTGCCACCTCATCGGCGGCTTGTGAGTCTTCCCTATTGTACTGCCCCATCTGCGAGGAGGGTCTGAACGATCATGTGAGCCTCGCTCGTTATTGCGACGACAGGCACAGCGATGTGGGTGCGAACGGCAAGCCACAAGACTATGCCGTTTTCACACTCACTTTTGGAAGTAATCATCAATTCAAAGTAAGATTTCGAATCGCATATTGCATGGTGGCTGGTGTAGAGGAGGGGACGGGGGGGGGGGGAGGAAAAGGACTAGTGGTGCTGGGCTAAGGAGTAAGTCCTTAATTTATCCTTAACAGCATTTTTGAAAAGCATTGTTGTCTCCTCTCCTTCTGCACTATCCATGTCTACTTACTAGAATTTGTAGTTTTTTGCCATTCTGCACTTGTGTATGTGTGGCTCGACGAGCATTGTGAGAGGACTGGAACCACATTTTACAAACGATCAAGCTATGATGAAGGGAAGAGTTACAGCCTAAGGTAAAGCTGTTATGTACCTCGTGAATGCACCTATGTCAATCCTAGATGTAACCGTGGCGGAGTTTACAAGAAGACTACTTCAACAAGAGCAAAAAGCAACAAGAAAGATGTGCATAGCTGCTCTTGTTTCATCAACGTGCATGTCAAAAGTGAAAATAGCATAGAGATTCATGGCTGTTTCGGGCACATAGGACATGACGTTGAGCCTCCGTTATTGCGGCTAACGCACACTCAGGAACAACTCCTTAAGCGTCTGTTAGAAGGTAAGGATACCATACCTTCTATTAGCTGAATGAGCTTGTGTTCAATGCAGAGCACTCAATGGATTATATCCTGCGTCGACTAAAGAAAGATTACTCAGCCAAAGAAAATCGACTGTATTTTGTGGATAGGAATGACCTCTGGAACCTCACTTACAAATACGGACTTCGCCCTGGATTCTTGCATAAAAATGACATGAACTCGTTGATGCTACGAGAGTCCGAGAGAAATCCTGATGATGGTATCCGCCTACTTCATATTTAACAATCAGAGTGGGAAGGGATTTCATCTGGGTAAGAGACCAGCTTTCTTATGCACGCACTCAATGCGACAGATTGTAATCATAACTCCGACCCAAATAGATTGGTTGAAAAGATTTTCAAGAAGAGGGATCGCAGTGGATGACTCGCATAACATAACTCGCTATAATTTGAAGCTGGCCACAGTCACAGTAGCGGATGAAAAAGATAGAGGGTTACCGGCAGGTTCCAATTTATGCTCTCATTTCGATCAACTTTGTAGTACATTCAGCATGACTGTTATAGCCTTCCTTCTCAGTGGTACTATGACAAGCGAAGATGTGCGTCTATTGTTTGCTGAAATTAAGAAGCTGGTGCCAGAGTTTGACCCTCTGCAAATCGTAGCAGATGAAGCACCATGTTTTGTCAACGCTTTTCGCATGGAATTTCCGAATTCGAAGGCTAGATTACACTATTGTCGATGGCATATAGATCAAACTTTCAAGAGAGCTACCACGAGATTTGTTGAGGTTATGAGTTTATGCATGAGTTGATAAATTCCAGGTCAATTGTTTTCAGGCGCGCTTGCGGCCAAGAATCAATAAAGACCTACACGATTTACTTTCAATCAACGACTTGAGCACCTTCGAAGGAAAATTCGCACAGATCCTCGCGTATCTCGAGATAGAAGGGCAGGGAGCAATGCTTCAGTATCTGAAGGACAATTATCTAGGTACAACTCAAATCTACAGAGGCAGAGGCATCTACATTTTCCGAATCCTTTTTAGGTAGAACTCGTAGTTGGGCCTCATTCGCAAATCATGGAGTTCTCGACATTACTATGATAAGCGAGAGGTGGCATCTCCACCTCAAACAAGATTTTCTTCAACGAAACGCCAACTCCCGCGCCGATTTCTTAGTTGATCTCCTAATCCGAGCTGTCGAAGACATTGCTGACACTGCAGAGATTAGGGTAAAACAGATTTTATCACAACTTAAACACTTCTGATTATAATTATTTCAGGATCGCCGTCGTTCAGCCAATGCCTCATATCGCATCCAAGAAACAACAAAGTGTCATCGGTGGGCTATGACCATATATGGGAAGAGGCAAGAGAAGATCACAATGATCGGAGAAAGGAAGTGGCAACTGCAAGGAAAAACTCCCGATGAAGTCTACATAGTCACGCAATCAGACTGCGAGTGTGCCGATGCATTGAGTAGAAATGTACATTGCCCTCTGTGTAACATATACCCCCATGCATGGAATTGTACCTGTCTCGATAACCGCGCAGGCATCAGCTGCTTACACAGACATGCAACGAAATTATATGGAGGACCGTTAGCGCTTTTATCGGAAACGGCAATCACAGAAAATCCGGTAGCTACAACACAGGAGTTGGAAAATTTTGTGAATATCACTGAAGCAACTTCCTCTAATGCGGTGACTGAGGCACAGGAACGGAGAGACCAGAGAAGTCAGATACGGAACAATATTGAAAGCGTGAGTTTCGGTTTTCCCCAGTGTTTTCTACGAAAGAGCAGACATTTCCAGAAGTTTTCGGTCATCACTGCGAACGTGAACTCATTAGTCAACACCGATACGGAGCAAGCGTTGAGCTTCCTGAAGGACATTTACGAATTGGTGGATCAAGCGTCTATGATAAAACTTCATCCTGTTTCTGAGGTCAACCTAGCAGTTCGACCAGAACTTGCCAAGCCCGGAGGAAAGCCACTTTTAACAAAAGCGGAACTTTTTACTGTGAGTCTAACGTTATGCGTACTAATCATCATGCGGACTATTTCAGCGTTCCCAGTATCGCAGCAGAAAAAAGCAAATTGGAGAAAAGTAATGTCGAACGCTGTAAGTTGTGATCGTAGCCCGTCGAAAACATTTCAATTTTCATTGCAATTTGCGTCTTCAGACACATCGCTATCGTCTTTTCCTGAGTGCTCCTACAAACTCGGCATAGATGTGTTTATGATACTCGATTTTCGTTTATCTGCTTCACTATTTGTTGCCATTCAATTGAATCATTTTTTTTGCTTATTTGTCTTTTTCACGAAAGATGCAGCATCATTTGATTTGATTCCTTTGATGTATTCACTTTTACTTTTTCGAGACGTGTCAGTATTTGACAACTCTTTGATCTCTGATTCATTCTCAGAATCTCGACAGTGAATTCATCTCAGTTATTTTTATCACGCCTGTTACTATACTTGGGTCCGAATCGAATAGAAATTCGATCATTCGAATAAAACATTCGAATATATTCGTATTCGAAATTCGGAGTTCTTCCATTTTCGAATAATATTCGAAACTCGAATAATTGAGGAAACGGGGTTTCGAACAAAATTCGAAACTCGAATAATCAAAAAACAGGGTTTCGAATAAAATTCGAAAACTCGAATAATCAAAAAACGAGGTTTCGAATAGATTTTATTCGAATGTTTTGATCGAATGTTTATTCGAATTCGTATTCGAATGTACTCCGTATTCAGATTATTCGACTTTGTTGTAGAGTCAACTGCTGAGTATCAAGCTCACTTCGTCCGCGTTTTTTTTTTCGCAAAACTCGGTAATGCAACTTTTGCAACCGGTATACCTTTGAACTGTATGGAAAGTCGCATTCTTCGGACTGCTTGCGAGAGTAAAAAAATCATATGTGGATTTTAATTGATGTTTTTTCGATCAATGAGATTGTTCGCACTGCTATTGGCACCAAATCAGCAAAGAAGATATCAAATTCAAGCTCATGTTCTGAGTTCATGCTGAATTGAAATGGCTGTTCTTCTTTCTTTGCATTGCTCATGCTTGCGGTACGCAAAGCCCACACTAGTGAGCACTCTTGCTCGCACAAATTAGTGCAAAACTGCCTATTCGTTACCTTGACGTTTTTTGCGAATTGGTGTGTATTGAGTAAAGGACATCGCAGTTGTAGTGCAGGATTAGACGGTTTAGATCGCCGTACGCGATTTGCCAGTTACGAGATGTCTGCAGATGTAATGGCAGCTTACCACAAATTTTTAGCGTGTACAACATACTAAAAAGATAAATGCCCTGCATTCGGCACTTTCAGAATAGGTTTTGGACAATTTGAGTATTGTCATACCACGTCGCCACTGAAATGCCTGCATATGCCCGGGGTTATAGGGGCATTCGTGCTCGCTTCGCGGAGGAAATCACATGCCTTTGTCCACGACTAGCTTATACCACACAAGGGGGTGAGTGACGGTGCTGATTATGGATAAAAATTTACTTTATCGATTTTATCGATTTTTGGAAAATCTTGAGCTACGAGGTTGGGAGTTGGTACGAAGGGGTGAGTGAGGGTGCTGATTAAAACCGAAATCTATTTTATTGATTTCAGCAATTTTTGGAAAGTTTTGAGCTAGGAGTTGGTATAGGGGTTATTAGGGGGCTGATTGTGATTGGATCGGCTTTGGCCAGATATGTCGGCAAGTTTGAGATGTGATTGCTTTAGTTATTTGATAAATCATTCGAATATTTATTCGAAATTCGACTTGCAATGTTCGAATATATTCGATATTCATTCATTCGATATTTTTGATTTTCCGAATTTATTCGAAATTCATTCATTCGATATTTTTGATTTTCCGAATTTATTCGAAATTCATTCATTCGATTTTTTTGATTTTCCAAATTTATTCGAAATTCATTCATTCAATATTTTTGATTTTCCGAATTTATTCGATATTCGTTTATTCGAGATTTTTTAATTTCGAATTTATTCGACATTCAATCGATGAAAAATTATCGAATTACCCAAGTATACCTGTTACTCTCTTTTCGCCAGTGGTAGATCCCATTCTTTCCGAACTAGCTATGTATGTTTCAGAATCTTCCACCTTTTCACTTGTTTTGAGAGTACATATTTAACTCAGGTTAATGAGTTTTCTTTTATTCTTATTGTCAAAGCAACATAAAAGTTGACTGAATTGGCTTTTTACACGCGGTGCTAGAAATATCTGTTGGCTACTCCTAATTTACAACATTTTTGAGCTGCAGATTAGGTAGGGGAGAAAACGTGATTAGACCTGTCCATCATATGGCAATCGATTGTCCAATCGTTGATTGTTTTCTATATGAACGTATGCCTCATTATATAAATCTAATGTTGCAAATCTAATGTTGCTCTATTCTGAGAGTGGTTGTTGCGCATTCGGTAAGTAGCAAGAACATCAGGTTGGATGATGAGAAGTCGAGATGCCAAGTAATCGCTTTAGGGAGACGAGTTTCTGGATGCTCTTAGATTAAGGTTAGCGCGCATATCATAATGCTATAGAAATTCAAGCTCTCATACAGCTGCCAACTGAACATTGTTAGGAAGATTAAGCAGCTTTGATCATGCGCAAACATGGCGAAAGGATAGGAGATGGCTTCAAGAAAGTCTGATTATCATTTCAAAAAGGCAAACGGCTTTAGCGTGATTCCATCAAGTCAAGCGAATTATCCACCAGCCTTGAAAAAAAGCGTTAAAAACTGTCTAATGAAAAGTAATACCTCAACACGAATCCTCTTCTCAAAACAAACAAAAATTTTGAAGTTAACGTGAACTCGTTTTCAACTTCATAAGACGATTTCAAAGAAAACGCATTCTGTGGAAATTCATAAGAATGGCAAGGATAACAAATTACATGAAGTTGCTATCTAAAGTAATGCTGGTTGGAGCCACATCGAGCTCACATCTGCAGTGTCACTGCTTCCATGGTACAGTTATACCTTTGTGGATCGAAATCTCCAGCCACGAAGTTGTATGATACATGTGCGTGTACGTCGTGCGCGCATGAACAATTAGAATTCCAGTAGATGGTTGAAGGCTGCAAGGGCAACTTAAAGGCAGTGTCCGGGCAAAAACTCGATTTTACGATTTTGTGCTTACCCGGGCCTATTCGCTGTGCTGAATCCGAAAATCCACATTGGAAAGCGCGAAAACGACGAAAAAGGACTCTAACACTGGAGGGAAATCAGCAAGTGGGCGGGGTCTTCCCCACTGTAAATTCACGCTCCCAGCTTCGGGGGCGATCTTTTTGATTCCGGTTTGATGTCAGGGCAGCTAGCAGATTCGAGAAAATTGCTCTGGAAGCTGGGAGCGTGAATTCACAGTGGGGAAGACCCCGCCCACTTGCTTATTTCCCTCCAGTGTTAGAGCCCTTTTTCGGCGTTTTCGCGCTTTCCAATGTGGATTTTCGGATTCAGCATGGCGAATAGGCCCGGGTAAGCACAAAATCTCAAAATCGAGTTCTTGCCCGGACGCTGCCTTTAAGCGCGCAGCGACACGCGCCGCGGCCGCCCGCGCAGCCGATTAAGTAGAACTAAATGGAGCCGGCGGGCAGGGGCAGATACATGACTTGATGCCACAAGTAAAATCCTGTAAAAGTTAGCAAGAGCGGTCCAAAATGGTGAATTGGACGCGTCGCGGAAATGCAAACCGTGCTGTTTTTCAAGCGTGTCCACTAAAGCGTACTTTATGGCGAATAAATTATTCCAAATTTGTGATAATTGAGGATAAGAATATTCATGAACTCAGTCAGTGAATGTTAGTGCGAACACTCTCCTGGACAATTCTCACTCATGAAATTTTGCAGTCGAAGCTCTAACGTTTGGCCTAAACTGCGACGAATTCGAAACGCACAAGCGTACCCTGATCGGCAAAGCGGCAGCGACGCGCAGTTTTCTCCGCCGAGCGCGACAGCGAGCACGAACTTAGTTTTTTTTTTTACGTTTTCTGAAGTTTCAGCCGCCGATCTTTGTACGCTTGTGTTTTCCCAGTTCGCATTCGACAAGGCTTTCCGGACTCGATCAGCAACAAGCACTATTGTCACAAAGTGGAGCAATCACAGCTTTGTAATGTTGATGATTAAAATTTTCGGGTACAGCCATGCGCACATATGATCGGCTTCCAGATTCGTGTGGAGGTGTATTGCAGACTTTGCCTGATAACAGATGTAAACTTGCTAAACCTCCACGTCATAGCTTTGCTTTTCGTAATCTCTCGCCAGCAAAAACCGCCACGCGGTGAGTTGGCAAGACTCCACATCCACACGAATCTGGGAGCCGATGATAGATGGTTTTGTGACTCCGTCCGCGAATTCCAAGAAGCTTTCTCCACAGTCTGAAATTTCTCCGAAATATTACGCAGTGGAGAAGCATCGTTACATCTGAGGCTCAACCTCCCACTAACGCACTTGGTCACGACAAAATGTTACCTTTATCAATTTCAAAAGGCCGCGTAGACTGAAAAAAGACACTGAATTGCGAAGTGCTTGCTCTATCCGCCGGTCAGCATATTATGTTTGGGGATCGTAGTAAGAATGGGAACTAGTCAAAGTTGTACATGATGAAAACGTCAGATTGAGCCTCGGTGGACTTCGAGGAGCGACCAGATCGAGAACATAATTGCTGAAAAGAAAAAGGCGGAATATTTATGGCGGTTTATTCCTTTGCAAATCCACCCCTACCGCGTCTCGCAATGTCCTCTAGCACAATAATTTGTAATCGTCAAGCGGCCTATGTAAGCAACAACTGGAAAAGAAGTTTGAAAACTATCTTCCAAGTTACCTAGTGTACCCCAAGCTAAAGCGGTTATGTATAGACAAAGGCGTGCCATGTCGAAGTAGTTGAATGGTAATCTTCAGAACTAGTCCACTCTGAACATAGCCTGATGCGAAGAATTCGGTGAACTTTGGCGGAGGCCGTCCAAGCACAACCACCGCGATTCTTTTTTCACGAATAATGAGCGGCAATTCAGGAACTCACACCTCAGTAGCTGATCTGACTTCGTCATGAAGATCCTTACTGTAGTTTCAAGCCTCAAAGTACATATTTTGC